CTTGTTTTTCAATGCTGCGTAGTATTCCATTGTGTGACTATACAACAGCTTCTCTATTTGCTTGTTGATGGGCACTTACGTTGTGAACAAAGTCACAATAAACATGGGTGTACATATATCTGCTTGGGTGGTAGTTATGGTCTCTTTGGGGTATATTCCCAGTAGTGGAATTGCTGGGTCAAATGGTATTTCTATTTACAACTTTTTGAGAAAGCGCCATACTGCCTTCCACAGTGGTTGCACCATTTTACACTCCCAACAACAGTGAATAAGGGTTCCGGTTTCTCCACAATCTCACCAGCATTTGCTGCTTGCTGTTCTGTTAAATTTTACTATTCTGACTGGGGTGAGATGATATCTCATAGTTGTTTTGATTTGCATCTCTCTTAGAGCTAGGGATTTTGAACATTTCTTCATGTGCTTGTTGGCCATCTGAATGTCTTCTTTGGTGAAGTGTCTGTCCATATCCTGTGCCCATTTATCAATTGGATTGTTTATCTTTATCTTTTTGTGGCTGAATCAATTCTTGTGATTAGCTATTGTGAAGGGTATTGATTTTTTTTTTTAGCTCCAGCTCTGTATTCTCTTTGTCACTGAAGAGAAATCCAACTGACTTTTGTGTGTTGATCTTGTATCCTGCTACTTTGCTGAACTGGTCAACTATGTCCAATAGTTTTCTTGCTGAGTCTTTAGGGTTTTCTAGGTATACTGCCATATCATCCGCATAGAGAGCTAATTTTACCTCCTCTTTGCCAATTTGGATACCTTTTATTTCCTTCTCTTGTCTTATTGCTCTCACTAAGGCTTCCAATACAATATTGAATAACAGAGGTGAGAGTGGGCATCCTTGCCTAGTTCCTGTTCTTAAAGGGAATGCCTTTAACCTCTCTCTGTTGACAACGATGTTGGCTCTTGGCTTTTCATAAATAATTTTTACTATGTTGAAGAAATTCCCCTCTAATTCTATTTTGTTGAGTGTTTTCATCAGGAAAGGGTGTTGGATTTTGTCAAAGGCCTTTTCTGCATCAATTGATAGAATCATGTGTTTTTTTTTCTTTGCTTTGTTAATATGATGAATTACATTGATTGCTTTCCTTATGTTGAACCACCCTTGCATACCTGTTATAAATCCCACTTGGTCATGATGGATTATTTCTTTGATGTATCGTTGAATTCTTTCGGCCAGGATTTTATTCAGTATTTTTGCATCTATGTTCATAAGAGATATTGGCCTTTATAGTTTTCTATTTTGGTGGTGTCCTTTCCTGGCTTTGGTATCAAGGATACGTTTGCTTCATAGAATGAATCTGGGAGAATTCCATCTTTCTCTATTTCCTGAAATAGTTTATGTAGAATTGGTGACAATTCTTCTTTGAATGTTTGATAAAATTCACTAGTAAAACCATCTGGTCCAGGGCTTTTTTTGGTCGGAAGTTGTTGTATTACCTTTTCAATTTCTTCTTTTGTAATGGGTCTGTTCAGATGTTCAATTTCAGTTTCTTGATACAGTAGGAAAAAAGTCTTCCATTAGCCCTCGACCATACATTGCAAAAACTGCTCTAGATGGGTTTAGTTTTTAGTAAAGACCTCCTTGGTCACATTTTAAACTAAGACTGTGTTACACTCTAGTTTCCATTTATTAGCACTGTTTTCTTTTTAGAGAAAGTCTCTCCAATAATAATTATAAACAATGGTTAGCTTTAGGTGTCTGTAAACTAGCAAGCTTGACCACTTAACACTGTTTTATTGCTTCTTTAATACAAAAATAACTACTTTCTCTTTTAAAAACTCAAGGGGGAATATGTTTTAAATACTAGAGCCTAGCACAGAAACACCATAATGCCTTTTTTCTGATTTTTCTGCTTGTATTTCACTATCATACTTTCAGTACTTTAGATAAGAAGAGAAATACTGTCAATTTTCACTTAGGAAAATGAAAACTGAAGATGATGGTCATGTATCCTACACATAAAAGAGAATACTAGTGGCATAGTCTACTGACTCTGGAGCTAAGTGATTCCTGTGACCCTGGGTAAATCAGTAAATCTCTCTGGGTTACAGACCCTTGCCTTTAAAAGGCTGAAGTCGCTCAAACAGGTAAAGAGGGACTTTCCTGACACAAAGTCTATGGTTATAAAACATGAGATTTTTTGATTTGTTTTCATTGTAGGTAATTATAGGGAAGATTAGGGTAGTAGCCTAATTTTTGAATCCTGTTAAATTCCCACATAAAAAGATACAGTACAACTACACAGTAAAATAGTTACTCTCTTGAACAGCAACATATAAGTACAAAAAGACAAAGCAACAACAGTTATATGCCTTGAGTGGCAAGTGGGTGACCATGAGCTGAAGAAGCAAACAGGTTGATGGATTGCTGTTAGATGCTGTCGAATCAAGTACCACTCATTGTGACGCTATGAACAACTGGTCTGAACTCTGTCCTATCCTGTGCCATCCTCATCATTTCTGATACACCTGAGCCCACTGCTGTAGTCCCTGTGTCAATCTATCTGACTGAAGCTCTTCCTGAAGCCACAGCATCTTCTAAGTCCAGTTTGAACTTCTGCCAGTTTTGTGTCAATAAACTGTTTTGGCAATTTTTGTATGATTTTCAGCAATATTTTGCTTGTATGTGAAATTAATGATATTGTTCAATAATTTCCACATTTTGTTGAATCATATTACTTGGGAGTGGGAACAAATATGGATCTTTACCAGTCAGTTGGCCAAGCAGATATCCTCCAAGTATCCTACCACAGACTAGTGAACACATCTAGGGCTGCACTTATTAGGGTTCAGGTTAGCTGTGCATAGTGTCACTATGAGTCATTCTCAACTAACAGCATCTAACAACAATACATCCTGAAATTGTAAAGAAGTAAGATTTTAAACTCAATAAAAAGAATAAATCAGGCTGTTGGGGTGTGGAGTGCATAGAAAATCTCAAACCAGAATACTAAGACCAAGACATAGTTTAGTAAATTCTCAAAAAAATTTTCTCAAAAAGAGTAAAATTAATGAACTTTAAAAAAAAGTGAGGAGCAAATATCCTTCGGGTATCTAAAGTAACAAGCATCTTGCAAAGAAAAGATTATCATCAGCTTTATTGCAAACTCTATGTTAGAAGAAAAGAAAGGAATGCATTCAAAGAAAGAAAAAAAGAAGAATCAAAGGTGTTCATATCCAAAAAAGACATTCCAAGTATAGAGGACCCAGATGCACTGTTACTATGTGATTATACGTAAGGACTTGTAGTTATGTGCTGTCGAGTCCCTTACAACTCAGAGCGACCCTATGTAAAACAGCTCTGAACCTTGCTCGATCTTGAGCCAATTTAATTCTCCCTGACAGACCTCCCCAGAGCTCTCTGTGAGAACCTCATAGAAAAAGGAGCTTCAGATATATTTTTTTTTAAAAAAAGAAAAGAAAAAGGAAGTAACACATGAGAGCCAGTGATGAGCATTAAACATAATTACCTGTAGAATACAAAATGAAGACAAAAAAAGAGAGGATATAATAAGTAACGGCCATATGGTCTGCAATATGGATAAAATACAATTCCAAAAATTTGAGAAAATGAGAAAAGCATAATGAAAAGAAAAATAAAAGAAAAAAGAATGTTAAAACTCTTTTTTCTAACTATACTGTTTGTACCAATAGTCACTTTGTAATTTTGAAGGTATCTATAATAGGAGCTAAAGCTAGTAATTATGAGATAGTTTATCTCTCCCATAACCTCAAGAACTTTAAGGAGTCTCAGTGTCAAAAAAAGGAGACATGGATATAATAGAGAAGTTAAGTAAAATATCGCATAGTCCTGAATTTGAATTGGAAGTATTGGTACACATTTCTAAAGCACTGTGTCTTATACTCTGTGCATTAATAGACAGATATAGACATCATTAGCCCCCAGATTATAGTTTTAAAATATTATTTCCTGCTCAGAGAAACCAGGGCTTCTTGGTAATTCTAGGCCTGGGGTAGATGAGCCCAGAATAATACTTCTATTTACACCAAAATAGGGTACTTTGAGCTTCTACAAAGAAAAGAATTGCAAGGAATTAAACCTAAAATATGTTTAATCTTATAATTAATACTACTATAATAGATTAATACTAATATATTGAAAAAATAAGTAAGCTCTGTCAGAGGATCATAAGAAATCACCAAGCCATTATCTTGAAAATCGTTAGGTAAAGAATAATCAAGCATTTAGTCTACTTTTCCTCTGTGAACTGTATCATTATATATTTGTAGATGATGTGAAGTCTTCATACAAACATTCCAGCAAATAAAGAAACAAGAAATGACAGAACTAAGATATGATTTTGTAACATTTAATGAATTAATGAGGGAGTTCTGGCCGGTGGCGAAGTCTGTAAAGGGCTTAACCAGCCTCTGGCTGTTCAAACCCACCGGTGGCTGAAGAGAAAGATGGGCCATCTTTGCTCCTGTGATTCATAGCCTCCGAAACCCACTGGAGGGTCAGCTCTCGGTCAGTTCTGACTCAATGGCAATGAGCCTGAGTAATGAGCTTTATGAAATGCACTTCAGTGTGCAATCAGCACCATCTAGACTGGGAAAACTGGATGTCAGATGGTCACGTTTTAACAGACATATTATAAAGAAAGCAACCTAATGGAGGAAAACCTTTAGATTAAGAGATTTAAAGGAAATGAATTTAAAAAAAAATCAGAAAGACTAAATGATCCTGTTGAGGGATGCAAATAGTATAAATTATAAAGAAACAGAGAGCAGTAATTATTATGCAAGTCAGGGTGGTGGTTGCATTTTAAGGAGGTAGAGTGTGGAGTTTGGGATGGGGCACCTGAAGTAGTTTCTAGGGTTGTAGCAAGTTCTGCTCCTTGACTAAGGCAATGGTTTCTGAGAGTGTGCTCATTAACAAGTACATGTGTTGAGAGAATCTGTAAGCATGATTTATCCTAAAATCTTACAAAGTTTAAAAAAAGAAAAGAAAACGTTTTCCATATCCTCACCTGTGCCTTGGCCAATTTTTTTTCCAGAAGGTCCCGTTCCCGCTCCGTCTGCTGCAGACGCTTATTAAGCTCCACTATGTCTCCCTTTAGTGATGCCAGGGCTGCCAAATGGAGCTGTGGAGACAGGAAGGAGCACGAGGTTAGACAGCTCGGCAGAAACTCATGTCCTCTCCTTCACTCCCGGCAATTAGG